ATGGATCTAACAGTGGTTGTAAAGGGGGCATATGCCATGCTGTGGTATAAAAAGTGACATAATCAGGGGTACAAAGTTTAAACAGTGAAAGTGGACACAGGGAAGGAGGTACCACATCCAGTGGTACACAATTCAGTGTGATTTTTGGGCAGCAGACCCAGCATTTAGTGGTGGGCACTGTGCAGAATATTCAGCTGCTAGTGTTGGGCAAATGCAGATTATATAGATAGCAGTGGTGGGCAGAGAGCTACAAGGAACAATAGAAAAGGAACAGAAGAGAGGAACAGGAGAGTTTTCGAAAAAAAAAGGGGGGCATCTTAAAAATGGTGAAAACAATGTTTTCTGGAGTAATACAAATAACATCCAAACAAGGTGACCTAGACAGGAGTCTAGAGAAATCAAAACTGGAGTGTATTATTTCACAGAAAACAATATTAAAGGACAATTATGAGGCGAGTGATTTTCACTCAGCCTCATAATCTGAGCCGACCTGTGACAATGAAACTGTCACAGGTCGGCTCAGTAGATCGGGAAGTGAGCGAACACATACCGGCGCTAGCTCACTTCTCCATCTATCCGTGCAGAGAGCCGTGAATATCACTCACGGCTCCCTGCATGGATTCCCCTCCCCTGTCCTATCCTCCAGCGCTGACTGGCAGGACGGATGGGGAGGGGGCGGGTACAGCTGGCTCTGCCTCTAGATAGGCAGAGCCAGCTGTCACTCACGCAGCTGGGTGGATCCAGACAGCATTGTCAGGATCCTAGTTGGATGCTAGTTTGTGTCCTCCCGTTACCCTTAGGAGAACTATGGGGAAAAGCCCTAACCCCATAGTTCTCCTTTAAGTATAAAAAAGAAACATTGTGGCCTTTCCTGGTGCAAATAATCTTTTTATTTGTTTAGAAAGATTAAAAAATGATAAATGGTACTCACAAAAGAGGTGGATAAAAAGCGTGTTGGACATAAATCTCAGGATGCAGATTCCTAGTAGTCAGAGAAAAACAATCCAAATATGCTGCTAGACCAGCAGAAACAAGCTGACTCACCCGAACGCGTTTTCGGGGAGTTTCCCCTTCAGAGCTGGCACCAGAAAACGCGTTCAGCTGAGTCAGCTTGTTTCTGCTGGTCTAGCAGCATATTTGGATTGTTTTTCTCTGACTACTTTTGCCCCGCAAATGACAGCTGGGCGGAGCCAGCGGTGATCTCACGGCTGGCTCCACCTAGTTGAAATGACAGATCAGTGTCCCCAAATGAGGGGGGCGCTGACTTCACGGCCGGCTCTGCCCAGTTGTTATTCATTGGTCGGGACTTGCTAGAAGACTGCTGGCCAATAGCTGTCACTGCTAGCTCTATCCAATTTTTTTTATTATTTTTTAAATCTTTATTTTTAAATTTTACTATTTATTAAATTTTTTTACATTTTGTCAACCATTTTTTTCCACAATTTTCATTGTTTTTCTACTCTACTCGGTACCACGGAGGGACTGAGCAGAATTGCCGAGCCGAATGCCGCTATTCACTCACTGCTGTTCGGCCCCTATGTGAATAGGGGCGAACGGCAGCGAGTGAACTACCGGAGCTTCAACTCAGCCAATCCAAATGTTGGATCGGCTGAGTCGAAGTCCTTATCCAGGTAGGAACTAGTACTAGAAATCTGTTTTATATATTTTTTGCCTGGCATCTCATTAAAGAATATGTAAATTCACTAATTGATTATGATATCTGCCAATGCATATGAGTTAAGAAATATATTTTAAAAAACCTGGACTTGCACAAATATGCATTGTGGATTGACTGATGCTTGCACATTAGCAAAATAAAATCACAGCAGCTCAAATAACAACAAGATCATCTTCTATATCTGTATCAGATGCCATCCATATGCTAAAAATATGAAAGGAAATTAATTTGTCTGTAATTTAAAGCTTAGCACTTAGTTCTGTTTCTGGTTCAGACACAAGGAAGAGGTGGACGCTCATAAAGACCATAGATATGTTTGCAATTAGGGACCTTCTGTTTCCACAGCTACTAGTAGAAGGTGGGTCCATGATCAAGAACAAATCATGTATTTCCTCTGGCATTCTTATTTTACTAGCAATGATGGTCATTCTATAATATAAAGATAAGTATTATCTACCTATCTTTCTTTCTCTCCTCACTATTTGGATTTTGGGAGGAGAGGATATGTCATCTTTTTAAATTAATTCAAATATTGTTTCCCATTAAAGCTAAACAGTGTGGCTACTAGATACAATTGAAAAGAGGAACACAGAATGGTGGTCATAGTTATTGTCACTTGTTTTATTTCATTTTCCAACCTGAAGTTAAAAACGATTATTTGTTAGGTACCTGGTTGCTAAATTCAAACACTGCATCTTACATTTCTTTAGTTTTATTTCATTTAGAGTTAAATGAAAAAGTGGAAGCTGTGTCCACAAACGGCAAGCAGAGGACCTGTCGCTAGTATTGGCAGTGGTCTCCTTGTAGCTGATCTTTACCAATTACAGGCTTACCATGCCTTGTTCTGAACTGTTTGTGTATGCAGTCCATCTTAGTAGAGGCAGGGTTTTGCTTCCTACCCCCCAATGACTGGTGTTTTGATGACTGGTGGGGAATATTCCACAAGGAACAGGCAAGGTGCAGGAAAGATGGATCCACAGAATAGATGAAGCATCAGTGACACCTTTAATTTCAATAAAGAGAATATTGAGCAGCAGAGTCATGGCATCTCCAAATTTTACTCCAAACCTAATGAGACTAGCTGTCAGGGGCAACAATGTCTAACAATGTGCGGCATTCATCTTACGAACATGTCACACACACAGCGACAATCGTACGATTCTTGGCGGGTTTTCAAACATGTTCCTAAGATAAAAGTCGTGCGACCGTACAGTAGAAAAGGATGCACGCCTTCCACACACCTTGCGATAATCGTACGATCGCGGGATTTCCCGCGATTATCGTACGATTATCGCAAGGTGTGTGGGCACTTTGAGAACTCATACTGCAAATATAAAGCAAATAGGCTCAAGGAATAGAAATGCTTAGGCCCAGGAAGTGTGCTGCTGTTTTTCAGAATGAATTCAAAAAGCAAGGTACGTTTTGAAGGATACTTTAAGATTTAATATATATTTCTTAGGGTATCATTGCCTTTTGTGTGTTATAAACACTGTTCATGCTTATGTCTCCAATCTTTTTTGTGGCCTGTGATAATTAAAGTGACACTAAACTCAGGAGTTAAACCTTAAAAATGAATTCAAGTACCTTTAATTATTAACAAAAATTAATTTAATTTGTGTATCACTCGGCTGTAGATCCTCAAATCATCTCTGAATTCATACTGACACCGTCCTTCCTTCTGGAGGATGGCTACTTTTGTTCCCCATGGTCCCTGTGTGTGTTGTAAAGTAGTCACCACTCACTCCCATGATGGACTACAATCTTAATACAAATTTATAAACTAAATATGAGATTCTAGTCCATCACAAAAGTATTCACACTCCAGAAGGAAAACAGTGTCAGCACCAATTCAGAGTAATGTAAGTAATACACACATAAGGTACAGTTTTGATCATAGTTAAGGCATTTAAATGCACTTTTAAGATTTAAATCCTGAGTTTAGTGTCACATCATGTTTTAAACCTAATAAACCACTTCAGGCTGGTTTCCTAATCCTTGTATAGTATACATAGAATTCTTACTCATTTGTTAATACCTGTCTGTAACCTATGATGATTCTTGTTAAGCAGTAGAGGTGTTTAAAGAAAATAAGTACAATATCAATGTAAGTTGTTATCTTTCAACATGTGACTTTGTTGCGGGTACTTAGAGTTCCTTCAGGTGATTGTTATTGCAGAATGTGATGCAGTCACAGGTGGTAGAGGGAAAGGGAATGCTAAGTGCTGTTGACCCTTCTTTTGTTCTGATGAACCAGTGTGACTAGATAAATAGCACTTCTTGATCTCTCAAGAGGAGAGGAAAACAACATGTGTTGAAAAGAAAAAATGCATAATCTCATCAAGAATCTGAATAGTTTTTTGCTAAATGGAATCTTCTTTTCCTAAGAGAACAAATAACCTACAGATACTGTATGTAATCCTGTTTTAGAAAGCTTTTAGCCAGTTGCAACAAAAACTAGTAATGCTGCAAGCTGAGAATCTCATGACTGCTAAAATTGTCAAATGGAGTATTGAATTATAATATGTATTATAATATGTATATGTATTACATGTATGTATACAAATTAGAAGCAGCTAAGAGCTGACTTCCTAGATACCAGGGCTGAGATGTAAACTAGCTTAGAGCATTAGCTTTACAAACAAGTTTTTGGGTCAGTCTTCTTTTTTAAAGGGCATGGGACAATTATTCGTATTACTTCTTTAGGAAAACAGCACAACCCAGGTTCCTCAGTTAACATCACTCCATCACCACTGGGGGAGGTCAGGACTCCTTTACAGCTGCAGAGAATGTAATTTGCTCTAACAGTAGAAATATATAGTTCCTTCTGTTGCTGATTGAAAACTGAAGTTTTTGGATCCACATTTTATCTTTTATTTCCAAGATTGTATTAACAGACATGGCAATTGCACATATTTTTGTTGTGAATGGAGCGAATTGTGAAATGAATTGTGAAATGAATCAAAATATAGCATCACAACCGTATTGTGAGTCTCCATACAGAGGCCCCCGTGATGTGAGTCTCCGTGGAGAGGCCCCCTTGTTGTAGAGAGGAAAGGGGGGGGAGTCCGGTGACGTCACGGACATCGACATCAGCGAATGGAGCCACTTGGGGATGGGGGGAAGCCGGCAGAGAGGTGAGTACCGATCAAAAGAATTTTGATCGATCAAAAAAATTAACAATTAATCGTTAATTTCCGCAGCCCTACTTTTTTTGCCAGTATTTTTTCAATTAAACTGTTCTTTTTTTAAATGGAAGATAAGTCGTCCTTACATTTTGATGTTATATTTTAGTGTTTGACGTTTTGCTTATTTTTTGTTTCAGTCTATTATCTTTATCCGGGATAAAAACTCCCATGGACAAGAGCTGTCTGGCTATATTGATTTTGCTCACCGGCTAAAGACTGAAGACTTTGAAGTGTACTTTAGTGGCAAGAAAAAGCTTCTTCCACGTCCAACTGACTTAAGGTACTAATTATGATAAACCATATGCTTTTATCCAATGCAGAATTGACAATAAAGTGAAACTCAATACAAACCGCTAAATACAAAATTAAAATGTTAAACCTAAACATTGTAGCTATGTAAGGTAAGACATAAGTTACGGTATACTGAATATAACATTTTACTTACATTTTCATTACAAATTTCACTTCCTGTGAGCCCTGTGCATCATCAAGTTGTCCTAGGCTCACAGAGAAATGTTGAGAACATCACTCACATCACTACTTTACTAAGCTGGAAGTGATATTTAAAGATTGGAAAGTCATGTCACATAACATTCAAAGAAAGAAAAGCTAAACATTCCTATTTCTCGTTATCAGTGAAAAAAAATAAGATCATTTACTATTAATAGCAGAGAGAAAGGAGACACTGATATTAAGCAGCTTGTGGACAATCATCAATGTTCTGGAATCCAAACAAATCATATAATTACAAACTTTCTTGAGAAAGTTATATTTTTATTATAAACAAGTCCAATTGGGAACTTAAGCACAACAATGTTACCTCAAGAATCTGTTAGGGTGTGTAATTCTCGAGCACTTACCAAAAACTTATGTTATGGATTGTTACTTTTCTCCCCAGTTAGAACACGTATTTGATAGTGTATGACATTTATTAAGAAAATAGTGACACAGACACAAATCAGGTTGCCTCTCATTTAGCAACGTACAGTATATGACACTTATTCTGAGTATTTCCAACCCCTGCTTCCCACTCATTGGCTGTTGCAGCGGCTCGATCATTATACACGCTGCTCCCGGAACAGGGTGAGGGGAGCAGCGTGAATCATGCAGGGCCCAGGACAGGTGGAAGAGGTCCCGGTACTCAGTGGTGTATTTTGGTTTTGTGCTGCCCTAGGCAAGACTAAACCCGAGCACCCCCCATCCCTAATCTAAATTAGTCCCACCCCTTCCTGTTTAAGACATTTTGCATAACCTGTCAGTCGTGGGATACAGTGCGCACAATGTATCTAGATTCTGACAGGCTGCGCTATCAACGTAGCGTGACGCTCTAGTTTTACCTTTGCAATAGCCACCTTCTCCATTTCTGGCTTGATGGGCTCCCTAGTTCTGCAGCTACAATAGCCATCCTCTCCTGCCCTGCCCGGCTGTGCTAGTCTCTAGTTCTGCAGCTACAACACCGATCTTCTGCCTTCATATGCTGGGCCCTCTAATTCTGCAGTTACCCATCTTCTGCCTTGGCCGCTGGGCTGCACGGAGCTTATAGGCTGCACTTCCCCTGACTCACCACCATAGAGGTGCCGATGAGCACGATGACCATCTGGATCTCAGCTCTGGGGTCTTGTGGAAGCTCCTCCGCTGCCTGAAGTCAGAGATTTGGGTGCCGGTTTCTCAGGGAGGTCCGGCGCATGAACTGCCAGTGCATCCGGATGAAAGTCACACATGCCAATACATTGCACAGCATGTTGACCAGGAAGAGGAAGGAGCTGCAGCCGGCATATATGTTGGAGTAGGCTGCATAGGTGGAGAGGTTGGTCCCCCAGTTAAAGAAGCACCAGGTCCAGGAGTACTGTCAGTAATTTATGAATAATTTATAATATAATTTATTTATATTCTCTTACCTAACTGGTTTGGGGGCAGCATTTTTTGGCGCCCCCCCTGACTGCCAGTGCATCCGGATGAAAGTCACACATGCCAATACATTGCACAGCATGTTGACCAGGAAGAGGAAGGAGCTGCAGCCGGCATATATGTTGGAGTAGGCTGCATAGGTGGAGAGGTTGGTCCCCCAGTTAAAGAAGCACCAGGTCCAGGAGTACTGTCAGTAATTTATGAATAATTTATAATATAATTTATTTATATTCTCTTACCTAACTGGTTTGGGGGCAGCATTTTTTGGCGCCCCCCCTGGAAAGTGCCGTCCTAGGCAAATGCCTAGTTTGCCTTGCAGTGGATACACCCCTGCCAGGACTGATGTTAGCGGTTACCGGGATATTAAATATCCTGGTAATCAGTGGTTACTACGTGCCCCGTCCTCCTGTCCTGGGCCCCCTCTAAGGGGCAGAACTCCAGGGCCCGGTCGTGGCTGCGACCTCTGCGACCCTGGTAGTTCCGCCACTGCCCTTTGTAATATAACCAGTAGAACTGCTATTCCTTTGAGTTCCGGCTGACGTAGAAGTTTTGGCAGAAGTCTTGGAGGAGGAGAGACATACCACTCGGCTTGGCTATTCTGCTCGGTACCTTCGAGGTACCGAAGGCAGCCGATGTACGGCTGAAATCAGCCGTACAAGCCATAAATGAATAGCCCAACAGCTTCACAAAGTTCTGATTCAATCGGGAGGCCAGAAGATCCACATAATAATATGACCAAATGTTTTGGTCTAGGAGTGAAAATAAAGAATATTCACTTACCTGATCCTCGGTCCTGCAGCAGTGACTGCTCACCTCTCACCTTCTCCTTTCCGGCTATGGTATGTCCCTCAGTGTCCACATGTTCAAAGGACTGCATTATATATGATGACATCACGGGAGCCTGGGGAGAAGAGGCTGCATAGGAATGGTCTAGTAGCCAGGTGGGACCAAGGATGGGGTGAGTGTATCTTCTTTATTTTTGTCTCTAGACCAAAATGAGCACTTAACCCCTTACAGTGCCAGTATAGCCTCACTGCAAGGATTAATTTGAATAAATACTGGAGTTCTTCTTTAAAAAAACATCTTGAATAAAGATAAGTGACCAGTTGTGGTTCAGATGAACTTTTTAAAGATGTCAAACGTCCTTAATTCAGAATTTCTGAACCAAAAGTCTCCCTAAAGAAGAACTCCGAGGAAAATCATTATTAACCCATGCAGTGGGGCTACCCCTGCACTGCAGCTTGCTCTTAGACCGGTCCCTGGAGCCTCTTTCCCCCTCCGCTGCAGTGGTCTAAGGTCCTGTAAATGATCATGTTCTGTACACTGATGCCGATCTCTGCAGCATTGAAGGAAACAAGCTAGAGAGCGTGCTGTCACGGCTGGCCAGCTCTGAGAATTGGGTGAGTATAGCTTTGTCATTTTCCCTGGCGTTCTGCTTTAAAGTCAATGGGAATCTGAACCAGATTGAAAAAATATGTATTGCAGAGCAGCAATTTCTGCAAAATTGGTCGGTCCCAAAAAAGAGTGTGGGCCGCATCCTGTTAAAAATTCTACCAGGGATACTGAGTTAGAAGGGTAGGACATTTTGGCTTTGGCAGTAAATCTAAGGGTACCCAGGCAATAGCATAGGCATACTGTATATATGGGAGAAAAAGCCTTTGAAGCAGCCTTCGTCTCTTTTTCCTACCAAAAATTACACTGCAATTCAAATTCAGTTGGGAACATCCAAATTCATGAAATTCAGTTGGATTTGAACGTCATCTGAATTTCAGAAAATTCTAATCCTAAAGTGTCCAGCAATGGGGCTTCTATTGAGGCTGTATCTAGCACCCCTATATTACCCTTATAGGTTTTCTATTCCTATTTAGTATTTCTTTCATTATAGCAATGGTTTAATATTGCTTTATGTTTCATGTTGCTAAGTAAGAATGGTAATATCCATAGACAGCAGTGTAACTAGCCATGGCATATGGACGTTCGACTTTTTTAAGGTTATAAAATATCTATTATTTTACTTTCAACAATTTTTCATTTTTCATGGTTATAATATGTAACTGTAGCCATAGCAGATGTTATGCCTGCTATGTTAACTTGTTCAGATGAATCCATATTACAGCAAATGAAATCCTTTGTAGTTATTGAAACCCTTACTTATTTGCATTGCCAAGATATGCAGTGACCAGCGGCTTTAGCCAAAGTTAAGGTGGTCTTTAATTGTGGTTGTGGTTTTAAAGGATTTAAATACAGTATTGGCTGCACTCTCTGAACCTCAGCTATGCAAGCCACAATATTTTCAGCTATCTTGAACTGTTTTATTACGGACAAGAGATTTTAACTAGATTTAGATCACATTCCAGATGTATTATGTTTTATTGTGCTGAAGTTTAAAAAAATAAAGTCTGAATATAATAACTACAGTACTTGTATACAATTGAAACTGCTATATGTAAATATAGATAAAGTGTGCAGGTTTGATTGGCTTTTTTCTTTCTTGTGGGCGAATCCCAGATTCAAACTCACAAGCTGGTGTTTGTAGCGCAGTCACCTTACCTGCTGCGCCACCAGGAGTTGATGTTGAGTTGACTTTAATATCAGGATATTGAATCAGGGCTACCCATAAAGCGCGGATCCACATTTTTTACTATATGTAAATATACCATCCAAAGCTTCTGTATATATTTGTAGTACCAGATAATGTATGTGTCATAAAAAATAAACACAAAACCATTTTTATTTGCTTTTTGTCCCCCCCTTTCTCTACCAAGAGTAAAGCCTTCCACTTTAGAGAAAAGATATATGAAAAATATTAGCAAAAAAAAATGTACAACCTGTTTTAAAAAATATGTATTCCAGAAGTTCTGCATTTTCAAAAGTTTAGACTTTTTTTTTTTACATTTTTGTTGGGATAAATATATTCATACTTTAACTGCCGTTAAACTGACCAGCAATGCATTTTATTTGCCTATTTTATTCACCAGACGACTAAAGCATGAAAGCTGACAATTAGAGATTGTTATATCCTATACAGTCCCTTATGGATGTGCCAAAAAAGTCCATATCCAGAAGTGAATGAGTCCAAAGGTGAAGGAATCACAAATTTATCCACTCAGAAAATACTGTGCTCCACCATCCAAAAAGTGCTCTATTCCCGCGTGAACCACACACTGCCGCACTCACCAGATTTCCATGACCCTCTTATCATAAGATGGTCACAGATAGCAGGATGTAATGATCCTTCGTTTGTTAACATATAATCCTCTGTAACCGGGTTATTCATCTTCATATATTCCTCCGGATGGTATTTCACCTCCCATGGAACACTTTTCGCCAATTCCTCATGAGACAACAGCCATCATAAAGAGTACCGATATC